CGGGTCACTGGAAGCAGCTCCTGTCATTCGCCGGTTCCACAGACCGGAAAACTAGGCTCACAGTCGCATGCGTCATTCTTAAGCAGCCTCACGGCCAGAGGAGGCGGGACAGGAAGAGGCAGGACCTGACCCGAGAAAACCCCACCAAACCACCTGATTGGCTTTCACCTGCCCGTGGATTTTGGAGGGGGAAACCAAAGGCCCTCGTCCTTATTGGTTACGTCCTCAAGGGGCGGTCCAAAAAGGGGCCCACTGGTTGGCTGGGGGGAGGACACGTGAGACTGCCTCGACAGGCAGCTTCTATGGAGGTCGCGTGTGGTTTGTGGCGGTTGGTCTCGTCAGGCCATTGTGGTGGCCTCTGAAGGCTTTGCTGCTGCCTCGCGTGGCCCAGTCCTCTAGCTGCGACAGGGGCAACATGAGCTCCCCGGATAAGGTGTCTGTGTGGGGAGCGGGTATCAGCCCAGAGGGCGAGCAGCGGGGCGGCATCCGCAGGGCAAGCCCCAGAGGCCTGCGGGGGGCCAGACGAGGCCTTAATCTGAGGGCGCTTTGCAGCGGGGAGGGCGAGGGTGGGCTTCGTGTCCTGATGGGCTTCGAGGCCGAGAGGGTAGTGAGGAGAGCAGGAGGGGCCATGCTGCGGGGCCGAGAAACCCGACCCGGCTCGTCAACCGGTGACAGGAAGAATGTTCTGGACTACGTGTCCCACTTGGAAGAGGCTGAAGATTTCGCGGCCATCGCGCGGACGGTGACCGACCGGGATGCATGGCGGGTCAGCAGAAACCCGTCCCCAGAGACCTGCGATGCTCAGGTATCTATCATTTGGGTGGACTTAGATGCGGGCCACCACCCTAGATGCTCACCTACCCTTGTTGTTGTTACGTGCCATTGAGTTGGACCCGACTCATAGCGACCCCTCCTTCAGTTTCCGAGGCGATATCACTGTGGATGTAGATTGCCCAACCTTCCTTCCGAGGAGTGGCTGGTGGGTTTGAACCACCAGCCTTCTGGTTAGCAGTCAGGTGCCCCACCAGCCTTCTGGTTAGCAGTCAGGTGCCTTAGGCACTACGCTACCAGAGCTCTCTGCCCCTAGAATCCCAGCGAGAGTCTCCCGCTCCTTTCATCCTCAATGGTGGGCTCGAGATAGGCGGGGCTTGGGGAAACCTTAAAAGAGGCAGTAAAAGTAGGTTGAGTATCACTGGATCTCTAACAGCCCTGGACAGAAGACCTGGCCGAGCTGCATTCCGACTCCGAGTCATTATCGGATGAGGTCACTGAGATGCAGATGATGAGGGTGAGCATTTACCGCAAAGCGGCAAGCCAAGCACAGCCCCGCTGCCCCGAGGATGCCGGAGATGCACCCAGACGTTCGAATCCCCACATCAGGGAGGACCTCCTTCACGTGCCAGGCTCTTTCCTGGGGGCCTCTACTCGGGGATTCCCTTCAGCTACAGAAAGGCAGCCTGTTGGAGAAGAGCTTGAGAGCTCTTCACTCAAGAAAATGCCAGGTGTGGTCTGGGGCAAGAGAGGGGGCAGGCCCACCTACTCAGGTGTTGCTGCTACTGCTTCAGGTGGCTTGCCCCGGGCCACTCCTAGAGGGAAGGTGCCCCAGGAGAAGAAATCCCTGGGTTGTGTCTCACAAGTTGTCCTGGGGACAAAGCCCCCGGCCTTGCCATCATGGGGGCAGAGAGTCTCTGGAGGCCTTCCAGACCCATCCACCTTACCTCCAATCTCTGGTATTCCACTGCTGGGGAAAGCCAAGAGAGACTCCTCGGTCCCTTTGGGACCCTGGCAGCCAAAACACAATACTGGGAAGAAACCTGTGTCGAGCAGGACAAGGGAGTTGGAGCCAGTGGTCGAAGAGAACGACCCAAACAGAGATCCAGTCCCAAAGGGCCAGGTGAGTAGGCCCCTCCTCCCCACACACCACCTCTCCCCCATCCGCACCCCAACACACACACATCTTCACACATGCTTCTTCTGTGCTTTGCTCTGGTGTTGCCACTGGGCACCCAGGCCATCAAGGTGTCAAATTAGGCTCATTTTCATAGGAACAAAGCATGCTCTCACATGAGAGGAGCTGGCAAAGAAGGGAGGGAGACCAGGCAGCTGATGTGGATAGGCCAATCCCTTGAGAGTTGGGGCCCAGCACCTCAGTGTTCAGGCCCATTGGCTTCCTGATGGCCACTTCCTAGCTGTTTCCCAAGCCTTTCTTGCCAGGGGCCCGGGCATTCTCAGTTTTCCCCATTTTTCTCCCTGGCTCAGCCCTGCCTCCTCACCTGGGGCTGACTGAGGGACAAAATGCTAAGGAGATTAGCTTCTTGATTCCCCTCATTAGTCTTTGCCTCACCTCAGCACATGCACACACAAGCACGCGGATATACGCATGCAAGCCCATGCGTGCGCGCGTGGGCACACAGACAGACAGACAGACACACACACACACACACACCCCAAATCAGCTGGAAAGTTTTCTTTTAGCTTCTATCAAGCAGGCCAGCGCTGTCTTGCCTGTCCGTGTATCGTGGAGAAGGCAGCAGTGGAGAACCTAGCACCAGGGCTCCCCAGGTTCCAGGAAACTCACAGCCCTTGGCATTGAACCAGGGAGCTGTCAGGCCCAGGGAGCCTGCACCCTCAGGTGAGTCTTGTGGGATTGAAATGTGTGGAGGGGGGATGGGATGAGGAGGGAGCACTCTGGCCCTGTCACTTGCTCCCAGGCCTCTCTGCCTACCCAGACAACTCTTTCACAGGAAGCAAGATACAGACAGGGCTGGCCTTAAGCCAAGTGTCCACTGTATGGAGTTTGTGTAATGGAGGGTGATTTATAGCAGGGCTCTAACTCCAACTCCGGAAGTAGGCTTTCAGCTGAACAGTGGCTTTTCTGCTAGTCCTGTTTGGCCACACTGCTCACCTTGGGGGACTGGCTGTGGCTGCAGCTCTGCTAGTGCCACAGCCACAACCACAGTCCTTGAGGCCACAGTCCCAGATGGGGTGAGACTGGAGGAACAAGGAAAGGAGGCCATGAGAGGAGGTTGGATCTGCCAGGCAGGGCACAGCAGGGGCAACTTGTTGCCAGCAGAGGGTGGTGCTGCCTCACTGTAGAACCTGCTAGGTCCTTTGCACCTCACTCCTAGGCTCTGAAGTTGGATTTTGTGTTCTCTTTCAGATGACCAGGGGGCACCTGCCAGTCCTGCAAGACAGGAAAGGCAGCCGCAAACACCTGGAGAACAGGGCTGCCCTCAGGTAATGCTCTCTCTGGCTCTTTGAAAGGCAGGCCAAAACTAAATGGTGGGACCTGTGTCCACTCTAAACTGACCTTATATTGCCCTCATCCCCCTGCCCCAACCTGCAGCCCCATGGGGGGAGGGCACATTGTTTCTGTTGAAGCTTCCATGGCAGTCTAGTCACTGGGCTTTGGGGTGTAGAACAGTAGAGGAGGAGGAGGAGGAGGGAGGAGGCAAGAATATACTAACATTTTCCCTTTCTCCGTTGTCTGTTGCCCTAGTGTGTCCTGCTACAGAGAGAAATAGACAGCCTTAAAAGTGAAGTTGCCCGCCTTAAAGATGAACTTGGTATGCGCAACCTCGGTCTGGGCATGGGCAGAGGCAGGGGTGGGCCCAGGTACCCGATTCTCGTCTGAATACACATAGTACACCACTTTGCCAACAAGTCCTAGAGATCTTGTGGGGTAATTAGAAAGGCCTCATTTATTTCCTCTTTAAGTGCTACTGGGTAGGGTATGTATTCTCATTTGCTTGTTGGTTGGATTGTGTCTTAATGCTTCTGATATGCACCAAATTTGAGAACAGCTGGTTCCTGGAGTTCCATTTAGAAAACATTTCCACATTGAATTCAGGTGCTGAATGGATGAGTCAGTCCCCAGGGCTGGATAAGGCCAAGTTTGGATAGGGGCTAGAGGGAGTGTCAGATTGCAAGGTTGGGCCACTCCCCCACGGGGACAAAGGGACAGGTTTCTATATCCCTATGTCTGGATTGTGTCCTTATGCCATTCTCTGTTTCAGCGGCCCTGCAGAGCCTCAGAGACAAGTTCCAGGCCCTTTGAAGTGAGTGTTAACACATACCATACCCCGCCTCACAGTACTGGCTGTTCAGAAAAGCTGTGGGCTGACCCTGGCTTGTGGCTCTTCCCTGACTCAGCTCTGTTTGGCAGGTTGAACCCAGCATCCTGGTACAAGAGAAGTAGCTGGTGCCTTTGGAACCCAGGAACAACGGCCAAGCTAGTTCCCTCCTGTTCTCTTACCCATGCCGGGGTTTCCTCTCTTCCCGTATTTTTGCCCCACCCCATCCCAGTTTATAGCAGTTTCAAATTAAAAAACTCATGCCATCGAGTGGATTCTGACTCATAGTGACCCTATAGGGCAGAGTAGAACTTCCCTGTAGGGTTCCCAAGGGTGTAAATCTTTATGGAAGCAGACTGCCTCGACTTTCTCCTGCTGAGCAGCTGGTGGGTTCAAACCACCAACCTTTTCGTTAGCAGCCCAATGTTTTAACCACAGCGCCTCCAGAGCTCCTTTTTCAAATCAAAGTACCTCTCTTGTTCTGTGGTCAGTGATCTCTCTGTTGAGGAAGTGGGGGAGAAAAAGCAAGAGGCCTAAGACTCCATTTCGGAGAAGTTTTAAATCACAATTGCTTCTGGCATTCTTTGGCTCTCTGTAGGGAACCTGGGCCAACCTTTGAGTAGGAGCCCTGCAGCCAGCCTTACTAGAGTGACCTGGGTTGGGTCTAGGCACCACATGGGCTCTGCCCTGCCACATTTCCCCTGCAGGCACGATGAATGTTCTCTCGTGATCTTCCCCTTTTCCGGATCCACGAGGTTGCCACACATCACCACTCTTCCCCCTCCCCTGCAGCAGAAACCAGTTTCTCTTTGAGAGCAGTGGTCGCTCTTTTCTCTCCTCCTTTTCGACTTTTGTATCACTCTCTTAGTTCCCCCTCTCACCGCTTCTCTGTTGTTGTGAGTGTCCTTGATCTCTCCCATGTATGTCCCTTGGTGTCTCCTCCATGGTCATTTCATCAGGTAGGAAACAGCACCAACTGAGCCCATCCCCTCCTTCCCAGGCCTAGACCTTTTCCTGGATTCATTATGCCCTACTGGTGCCACCAGCACAGAGGCAACCAGAAAGTCATCCTTATTTCCACTTGAGCCCTCACCTTTGAAACTTGGTGACCAGATCCTACTGGGATTCCCTCCTTAATTTCAGCAGTGGACATGGCAGAGTGTGCGTCACAGTGTTTGCGGAGCAAAAAAGGAGGGTAAAGGGAACCTAGATAAATGAAGATGTAAAAGTCAAGGCGGGTGTGTGTGTCTCTGTGTGTGTTGGGGGGGTGTGTGAATAAAATTAATCATGATCTGATTGAGAGCGAAAAGGGGGTAGGTTACAGTGGTCAGAAATCCATAAGGGATTTTGTTACGTTACCAAAACATAGGTAGTGGGATGGAGGTGGGGGGGAACCACCAAACCTGAAGACAGGGTGTGGGGACTCTGGAAATGTTGAGTTGCTGGTGCATTGCGGGGGACACCAAACTGAAATGGCATAACATACTACACGAAAACATAGTTCTACAGCCTACTTTGGTGAGTAGCAACTTGGATCTTAAAAGGTTGTGAGCAGCCATCTAAGATGCAACATTTGGTCTCTCCTCGTGGGAGCAAAGAATGCAGAAAATCAAAGGTGTATGGAAACAGCCCAAGGGACTAGTGGACCACGTGAACCTCGGCCTACATGACCCTGGTACCAGAAAAACTAGATGTTGCTCGACTATCACTGTCAACCACTCAGAAAGGAATCAAAATAGGAGATCCTGGGTAGAATGGGAGAGAGAAACAAGTGTGGAACAAAACTCCAAACCATAAAAAGACCAGACTTGCTGATCGGGTAGAGAATGGTGAACCCCCAAAGACTATGGCCCCTAGTCACCTTTCAGGCCTGGAATTGAACTCAACTTCTGTGGCTTTCATCCAGACAAAGGACAGGTCTATAGGGTGAACATTTACACCAGGTAGGTACACTCCTTAGAACAATCAACCATGACAGATCAGAAGGGCAGTATTTGCACAGGGAGATAGCTCAGAGTGCAGGAATGCATAGGAAAGGACACCAAAAAGGTTACGTGGAGGAAGTGAGAAAAGCTGTTAGGTTGTGGGATTTGTAATAAATGTCATGAAAGAAAATGTGTATGAACTGCTGTATGGAAAATGATTTTGCTCTGTAAACTTTCACCCAAATCACAATTAAAAAAAAAAAAATGTGTTGTCACTGGGATTAGGAGGGGAAGGGTGGATACCTCAGGATAGGTGGGAAGGGACTCATCTTTGAAGCATGGAGCTAAAATAGAATACGGCAACCATATGGCCTGCTGGGGAACTGGGAAGGATGGGGACAGTGAGAATGTAAAGTAATGAGTGGCGTCCCTGGAAAGCTGGTCAGACTTGGTACAACCCTTCCTCTGTTTTCTCACTCTGTCTGCCTTCCTGGCCCCCATGCACAGACCTCGCAATCATACGCCGTGAATGAAATGAGTGCAGGTTTAGTCCATCTAGTGCAAACCCCTCACTTGAAATGATTGGCTTGACTGCTTGGTCTAAGCCTTTGACCTTGTCTCCAATGGTTATTTCTTGGAGTAGCAGACCGTAGTGAATAAAATTAATCATGAAAAACCTCCCTAGAAGAAGAGAGATCTGATTGAGAGAGTAAAGGGGGTAGGTTACAGTGGTCAGAAATCCATAAGGGATTTTGTCAGGTTACCAAAACACAGGTAGTGGGATGGAGGTGGGGGGAAATCACCAAACCTGAAGACAGGGTATGCGGACTCTAGAAATGTGATCATTTTGGCAGGCACTTTCCCACTGGGGTTTCTACCCACTGAGACACCTTGTTCCGACTGGGAGAAGAAGTCGGCATTGGGTCCCTCCCCCGGGAAGTACAGAGCCGCTGGCCCCCAGAATGTGGGAGAGAAGCATGTTGAAAAGAGAAGTGCGAGGGCATGGCACTGCCTTGGGTGATTGATTTCGCGAGCCCTGCTTCCCTTGTCTGAGCACACAATCTCTCTGTGACATATTCAGAGCCAGGACCACACAATGATGTGTATATCACAGCCCGTGGCTGGGCACTGAGCTTGCCAGTTCCAGGAGGAAGTAAGTGGCAGATACCGAGGCTTAGTTTAAAGAAACCCATCTGGGTACCGGCGGAAAGGAGCAGGCCAGACCCCTCCCCTAATTCCATGACTTCCTTTTTACCTGTCCCCTCAAGGCTTCTCTGCCGCCAAAGAGGAAATGACAGCTGACCTGGGAGAGCCCTCGTTCTACTACTTGCCCCTTCCACACCACCAGGACTGGCTAACTGCCCTCACCAGATGTTCTGGTTACCTAGCGCCACTCTGACGGGAATATACCACAAATGGGATGGCTTAAACAAACAGGAGTTTATTCTCTTACAGTTTGGAGGCTTTAAGTCCCAGTTCAAAGTGCCAGGCTCTAGGGGCTGAGTGAAAGTCCCTCAACCTTGGGGTCCAGCTCTGCCTCCTGCTCCCGGCCCACTGGAGCTGGAGGCATTTCTTCACTCAGACAGCTGCTAGCTGCTGAGGCTGACAAACCCACGGCTGACAAAAAGGCACAGTCCCGATGTTACCAAACCACACAGCAGGCCATTAATTTAAGCTCATTGTAAGTCCCAAGGTCGGCAGAGCATGGCAGGCTGCTGAACAACGACATGGCTACATGCAGGGTCCAAGCATGCCATAAGCCGGAGACCATTCCCAAAGCTGCTGCTTATATGTGGGAAGCATACCACGTACCCAAACAGCTACTCAGCTGCTTGTGGTAGATCCCACCATGGAGTTGATTGCCAGTCTCATCATGGGGAATAACTACCACCAGCTGCCCAGCCACTCAACCAGGCCAAGCCAAGTTGACACACAAGCATAACCACCACACCAGACACCTACGAGGCAATGGCACAGCCAAGGGTCATAGGAGGAGGAGGGTGCTGGAGAAGGAGTTGAATGGGGGAGCAATCTGAGCCAAACAATGGCCCTCAAAGATGGCCACATCTTGATTCTTGGAATTTGTGGGTATGTTAGGTTATGTGGCAAAGGGGGATTAAGTTTGCAGACAGAGTTACGGTTGCTGATCTGCTGACCTTACACTAGGGAGATTATCCTGGATGATCCCTGTGGGCTCAGGGCAGTCATAAACCATCTAACCAGTTGCTCTTGAGTCAATTCTGACTCATGGCAACCTCCAGTGTTTCAGGGTAGGACTCTGCTCCATAGGGTTTTATGGCTGTGACCTTTGGGAAGGAGGTCGACAGGGCTTTCTTCCGAGGCACCTCTCGGTTAGTAACCAAGTGCTTACCCATTTGCGCCACCCTGGTACCCCACCAGTGCAATCACAAGCGTCCTTAAAAATGGAAGAGGGAGGCTGAAGTGTACATCACAGTGATGCAATGTGAGAAGGGCTCGACCCCGCCGCTGCTGGCTGGGAAGTGGGAAGAAGGGGGCCTCCAGCTGGGAATGCAGGAGGCTCCTAGATGCTGCAAAAGGGAAGGAAGAGGATTCTCCCCTAGAGGCTTGCAAGAAGGAATGCAGCCCTGCCAATACCTTGGCTATTTAGCCCAATGGCACCTGTGTTGAACTTCAGAAATACAGAACCACAAGATCATAAATGTGTGTGGTTTTCAGTCACAAAATTTGCAGTACTTTCTTATGACAGCCATGGGAAATTCCTACAGTGGGGGAGAATGAAATCTTAATTGCTATTCAGCTCAGAGGCAGCCCAGAGATCTGTCAAAATGTAAGCCTGCCCTCCACGCAGCCTCAGTGGTGAAGCCAGGTTTCTCCAATGTTAATTTCCAAATATGACCTTGAACTCTGCAGGCAGAAAAGATCATCTCCCTCCTCAGATTGCATCAAGACCTTGGGGTAGGTGAGTGAGCAAGCCAGAAGGCATGAGTTGTCTAGGGTGGGCTTCTCTGGCTGTCACAGAGGCCCAGCACTCTGCATGGCCTCCCGTCAATGATGACAATGGCTTCCAGTCCTTGCTG